GGGTCGGCACACTAGAATAAGGGGGTAACAAATCAGGTTTTTACAGGAAACAAAAACAAAACAATAAATGTACATTCTGCATATGTAATTTTAAGTAGCAAGCAATTTGACCGTAATGTTTCACAAACATATTAATATTTCCTGATCTCACATTTTAAATACGTTTTTGGAGTGTGAGCTGCAATATGGAGTAGTTTAACTTTGCCGTTTTACATCTTAACATCTCATTGTTTTACCTCTTTATTTAATATCCATTATGTACCTGACAGATCTTCTATTATTCAATTGCCCTTTTACTTTAGCAATAATAATCTGATAAGGACTAAAAAAAAAAAAATACCATCAAAGTTTGCAGGTTTATGTGACATTATAATGATGGAGCCACTCCATAATATGGCCTGCGGCCTGAAAAAGTACAGTGTACATAGAATATAAGACGGGGAAATATTTTTTGGGCTTCCACAAAATTACCAAGAAAGTAGTACTTAAAATTGTTTATGCTGTAGTCATTATTAATTACAGTATAATTTGTGTTTCATTTTCTGTAAAATACCCAGAATTTTGGCACTACTTAAAATTACTTACAGACTACTTACATTTACCAACACATTACTTTAATTTACTTAGAGACTACTTATATTTAGTTACAGTGTCATTATTTCTTTGTTTGCTCTAAAACCTGACTCGTTAAGCCTTTCTTCTAGTGTGCCTACCTTTGAGGATTTGCAGGTAAATATAATTATATAAAATACATTTTTCCAAAAGTTGATTCTGTTCATCTGGACATAGCGTTTTGTGGGAGAAACGTTTCATCACTCATCCAAGTGACTTCTTCAGTCTCATATAAAATACATTGAATTTCCATTTAATTAGAGTACAATTAAGCCCTTAGTCAAAGGCCATATTATAAAGTGTCACCCTGTCTACAAAGTACAACATTTTATCCAAACTATAACAGAGCAGAAGTAATAAGCACCAATGCTTATATGCAGTAAAAGTACTTTAAAACTGTACTTCAGTAAAATCCATGAATAAAGTTAATAAGTTGGTCTAGTCACATTTATACTGTCATTCAATGGCTCTGGACACTTTGACACTAACAGTACTCTTGTCCAATCATATTTCAGGTGTGACATTTCCTGCCTCTGGAAACACCTCTGAAGCCCACATTTTACAAAAGGCATCAATATAGAGTCTGCTTAACTGATGCCTTTGTTGGTATTTGAAAATTTAGGATTGGGTATTTTGTCACATCTTAATTCAAGCAATGGTAAACACTGCCCACTAGTGGAAGTAATGAGATTAACCGACACACAATTTATCAACAAGTGCAAATGTGCTTAGATAAACATTTACAGGGGCAACAGCTTGCACATGCCAGCTGCTCTTGTAGGAATAGTCTAAATTCAGAATACACAGTATTGCCTGTTACACAGATTACATGGCTAAGAATTCTTCATCTTCTTTTTAAACCATAGACTGTATGTTTATAATTAGTGGCAAAAGTATTTGCCACTTTGATAGCCATGGAATATTAACGGTAGTTAATATTTACATTTAAGAGACAAACTAAAGATTATGAACAAGTTATGGGTTTTTGCAGGTTATTGCTCACATGATGCTCTCTGTATATTATACTGTATACAAAAATGCACTTGCAATATTGCAAAAATTAAGGTGTATTTGGCAATTGAGCAAATGAGAAACACTAAACGTAGCTGGACTATTAACTTGTTTTAATTTTTATCATCTTTAAAATAGTTTCGATTTTGTTCCCCACCTTTGGATAAAAGAATCTCTATCAGTGTGGCTTTATTATGCAAATTGTTACTCTCATATCTGAATACTGTACATAACACATACCAGTGTACAGTTATTCCATTACAGTTATCAGTTATTTGGAAAAGTAGTATAGATGATAGGATGATGGAAAAATATTA